GGGGAGATAACTTGGACACTAATGATAAGCAGAATGTGTAAGGCAGTTTATATCATACAGGGGAGATAACTTGGACACTAATGACAAGCAGAATGTGTAAGGCAGTGTATATCATACAGGGGAGATAACTTGGACACTAATGATAAGCAGAATGTGTAAGGCAGTGTATATCCTACAGGGGAGATAACTTGGACACTAATGACAAGCAGAATGTGTAAGGTAGTGTTTATCCTACAGGGGAGATAACTTGGACACTAATGATAAGCAGAATGTGTAAGGTAGTGTTTATCCTACAGGGGAGATAACTTGGACACTAATGACAAGCAGAATGTGTAAGGTAGTGTTTATCCTACAGGGGAGATAACTTGGACACTAATGATAAGCAGAATGTGTAAGGCAGTTTATATCATACAGGGGAGATAACTTGGATAACAATGACAAGCAGAATGTGTAAGGCAGTGTATATCATACAGGGGAGATAACTTGGACACTAATGATAAGCAGAATGTGTAAGGTAGTGTTTATCCTACAGGGGAGATAACTTGGACAATAATGACAAGCAGAATGTGTAAGGCAGTGTATATCATACAGGGGAGATAACTTGGACAATAATGACAAGCAGAATGTGTAAGGCAGTGTATATCATACAGGGGAGATAACTTGGACACAAATCACAAGCAGAATGTGTAAGGCAGTGTATATCATACAGGGGAGATAACTTGGACAATAATGACAAGCAGAATGTGTAAGGCAGTGTATATCATACAGGGGAGATAACTTGGACACTAATGATAAGCAGAATGTGTAAGGTAGTGTTTATCCTACAGGGGAGATAACTTGGACAATAATGACAAGCAGAATGTGTAAGGCAGTGTATATCATACAGGGGAGATAACTTGGACAATAATGACAAGCAGAATGTGTAAGGCAGTGTATATCATACAGGGGAGATAACTTGGACACAAATCACAAGCAGAATGTGTAAGGCAGTGTATATATAGTGTCAAATTTCTCCTACTCGGGAGATAACATGGACACAAATCATTTACATGCAAAAAACATGTTAATGCAAAAATATTTGTATGTTTTGATAGTTATAAATGGAAACTAACACATTGATCGATAGACCACATAAGTCCACAATATAGCATTTTCACACATAGATGTTTCCATTGCATCACTATGATAATGAATATACTTTTAACACCCAATATCCCGGACTGCACACTGATCCAGAGTGTGTTTCCAACATCTTCTCTTTATCCTAGAACCACAGTAGCAAAAGAAATCATTTGGAAGTGTGTCATTGTTAGTGAAATCTAATGTTTATCTACAAAAACTCCACTAATTTTATAATCAGTATTTTATCTTCCTTTGGTGACAAGTTCTGGAATGCTTTAGAAACATCAGTCAGCAGCTTGACTGGCAGTGTATATTATTCATTAGTAGACACCATGTATGCTTTTACTAGAAACTAAATAACTGGTATCTACTTTGTGTATATATTGACAGTCATATTCAAATCATACATTACAAGCACACTGATGATTCAGATTAACTGACACAAGGGCTTGCGGTACAAGAATTCGGTATTCTGTTGAAATGTAGTTTAATGAGGTATTTGTTGGTCATGCTGCATGATGAGATTTGATGAAATGTTTTCATGGTGTGCAATAATTAATAGCATCATCTCCTATTTCCTTCATCACAATGGAAAGATATACATTAAATCTCTTATGCTTTCACTCTAAATATTGTTAACAGACATTTTAGTCATTTGGTTGATCTGTTTCATTTCTGCTTCCAACCTTAGTCTTTCTTCTAGATTTTCAAAATTGTTCTTATCTATCTGTCTCCTGTACCTTCAGCGATGTGTCAGGAACTGATATCACTGGATAATTCAGTGCCTTTACTTTCATTCTGGTTTCATGAATACCACAAGATATCCTTATTTCATCTTCAGAGCTGTTAGTTTTGTGGAAGTCAGGATTCTTTTCACCTTTTTTCTTTATATTCTGAATCAGGTTTTTCAGAGGGAGTTATCCCCCTTTGTACCTCAATATCACTCTGACAGCTAGTGCATTAATGAATTTGAGTTTAGCTTTGCTTTTCAATGAAAAAATAAAATGCACACACAAGTGGCTTATAGTATTAAGCTACTACTTACCACAGATGTTAAGGTTTTAGTAAACTGCGTTCTTAATGAAGCTAAGAGGTTGTTCTCCCCTTCACGCTAGGTGATGGATGCTTATGCACACCCTGTATGTTCACTTCTCCATCTAATACACTCACTTTATCTGTCCTGTTTACCTACATATGTCTGGTCTTGTGGACTGCTTTTAACTTTCTTTGAATTCTAAAAAGATTTTGTTGTTGTTACTGAATAGTTGACTGATTTGAATGAGTACTTGTTTACTATAAAGACCTATATACACTGATTATTTCATTAGATGTATGGAGTGTCATTGATATTGGTATCTATTTGATCTGACTGAAGTTTGTAGCATGCTAGATAGTATAACTACTTACATTACCTAATTAATGTGATCAATCTGTGATTGTCAATACAACTCTTATAATCACAAACTGTTTAACCTTTCCATGTTAAGGGTAGTTGTTGTTTTTAAATCTTCAGCTCAATTTTGTGGCAATTTAAACAGTTTTTACAAAATTTGATGAGACTAAATTGGTTTTAAAAAGATAATGTTGCTTTAAAAAGGAACAAAGATTGATTTTAAAAAAAAGGTAGTTTTAAAAGTATTTAGTGTAAGGAAAACATAACATATATATAACAATATCTCTGTGTGTGGAATTCTTGCCCATAGTTCCTTAGCTTTCTTCTGTTTAAAGTGGGGGGGTCCAGTCCCTCCAGGTGATCCAGATATATATAGAACTCTACCCAGGAAAATATTTGGTTTTGTTTGCAGAAAAGCCCTATTAGAAGATTATATGCCTGTTTAAATATATAAAATGTTGGTTGAGACTATTTTCATTTTGACTGATATGCTTGATGCAGCTTAGCATCTGTTGATATGACTGTCAGTGTCAAGGACATAGGACATATAATGGTCTGATAACCCGTCAAGGTTCAAATTTCATGAGATCAAATTACACAAGTTACGTAATGTATAAATATGAAATTGATTATCAGTAACATAAAAGTATTACAGGAAGAACAAAATTTAAAATTAAATGAAAATTTGATAATTGTGTATGTACCATATGGTGTTTAAGGGGCCTAGTGTAGGTAACCATGGTGGAATACAGGTGTGATATAACAGGATTCTACACTGTACATAATACACTGTATATCATATGTAGTCCATCTGAATCACCCTACCTATTGTACAGGTACATAGATCAAATGATCACCTCATCTGATGTATGTATACTCTGAAAGTTCAGGCGCTTATCTCTGTCAGAGATATAAGCGGTACTACTCTGACCTAAATACAGTGTTTATAATCCACAATAATGATATAAGTTTTCTATATTGGAAAAAAAAAACATTATATATACAGATATATTTATATATATATGTGATATCAGTAATAGCAATTTAAACAGGTTGAAAATGCCTTGGAAAATCAAGACTTTCTATTTACGGAGATTTTTTTATATTTTGCTGATTGTGTCCAAAATGAAATTTAATGAAAATGAAATAATTTCAAAGATATCCACAAATCTTGTGGTTACACACACCTTTTTTCATTTGAAAATGTCTTTCATTGTTTTTTAACCTTCTAAGAACAGGAAATCTAAAAGGAACTAAGAAATCATTGAAATTCTTTAATAAATGAAACGAAGAGGTGAAACAGTAGTGTCTCAGTATTTCATGCTGTTGTGTAATAGTTGGGGATTTGGTTATGTTAACACTGTTTTTTAAAGGTAAAACTTAAATGACTAATCTGAGGGCAATCTTTCTTTCCCATTACATTGGAAGGATCTCCTTAAAAATAAAGACAAAAGCTAAAGAGAAATTCTAACATAAAAAGGGAAACAAAAACCAGCATGGATTATATAGATGATTTTTTTCATTCAAATATATTTTCAATAAAAAAAATTCTTTAAAAAAAAAAAATAAAAATAAAAATTTTGATATATATTGAATACATCTTACTTGAATTTTTACCCTATTCCCCTTGCAGCATACCAGCATAACGTGCATGTATGTCTTTGTCTCTGTTTGATATATACTGTGTCTTTTGAATTGATTGTGTTTGATATATATTTACTAATTTCTCAGTGGCTTGCATGTTCTGCCCTTTGTGGTACACATACTGTACGTGTATTTACTAACTTTGTGGTGAGGTGAGTGTTTCTCCTTTGATTCTACACATACTATATACTTTTATATTGTACTTACTAATTAAACTGCAAATCTATGTATCCCTTTTTTTTTGTAGCTTTAAAGGTTGAATCTTTTCACACGAACATCTTGGCCCATGATGTTCTGTGTAATTATAGATGGGGTAATGTTTTCTTTCAGGTGCATGTTACCAATAGCAGAGCTGTAGAACAGATCAATAAGGATAATTTGAGAGACATCTCAAATACAAACAAATTCTGTCAAAAACCAGAGTTTTCAGCACAGGTTCTCTCCTACAGCAGACATCAATTCCCAAATGCTGCCCTACCCCATGGCACAAACTACAGATTGTGACAAAGTCTCCAACACAACTTACACACTGACAATAGTGCCATTGGTTGTACCATATAGATAAACGACCACAGGAGACTTATTCTTATAGTATTATCATCACTTGTAGATTCCTGAACTTTATACAATAGAACCAGTTTCTATTTCATGTTTTATCATTTTTTTTTGGACAAAAAATGAAAAAAGAAAAGTGTAATCCCTGAATTTAGAATTAAACAACAGTGAATGTACAAGTGAAGTTGATTGGATGCCATATGAATGGGTCTCTGTTTTTTCTTAGTTACGACCTGGTCGTATATGATGAAATATATATCGGTGTGCTCTGTTGATTTCTTTATAGGGTGATCTACTCCACGTACTTTGAGTTACCTCTTCTGGTGGGGTATTTTCCCGCCATGTATATGTTTAACGCGATGCTATGCCTACTGCTGGTATTGCATGCCTATTGGTTCTCCCTCATCGTCAAGGTGACATACGACGTCCTCACAAACACTGGAGAGGTATATACTTGTGTCCCCTGACCGCTGGTCAATGTTCCTGACCATTGGTACAGGCGGTCCGCATGCTACAGGCTACAACTAGTGTTCGTTTGCCCAGAACTTTGCTTCATTTTGTCAGTGTACCTGGCCAAAAGTTAATTAAGCTATGTCACAACATTTGTCGTCCAAATAGAAATGATGATCTGTCAGGAACGAATTACTGTATATTGAGAGTTAAGTGTGAAATATATATCTTGGCCAGGGAACCACAAATTCCAAATTTACCTATTTGTCTTTGATTTGAATGGTGCAACACTGAAATTTTAATTCAGTATACTGTACTGATACTAACTATAGTACAATATGTAACATATAATGGTAGGAATCCTTTATAATGAAATACTGAGGTTTTAGTTGGTTAGAACAAAACAATATGTTTGCTGAAGAGAAAATTGACAAAATTATTTGAGGAAAATCTGCCTAAATAAAATACTATGTATATCTTTATGGTACATCATTATAACACTAAGTAGATTTCAACCTAGATTTTATCCTATGATAGTTCCCTTTATTGATAGTCTCAAAGATAAGGGGACATAATGTTATGAGACATTATGCCGCCTGAGTTGCAACAAAATACGTAAGTGCGATTTAAGACTGTACTGTGTCAGACATGTGCTAATTGCATGCACACTTTGTGAAACACTTATGACTTCATTTTGGTAATGATTTTATTTTTAAACTTGCAATAGAAGATCAAAGGTCATGGTCAAGGTCACATGGTCAAAAATTTTGGTATCACCAGAAAGGTCTTGTCACAAGGAATACACATGCTAAATATGAAAAGCCATACCTCTTATGATGCAATAGTTATGGCCAATGTTAATATCATTCAAATGTAGATCAACGGTTATGGTCAAGGTCACATAGTCAAAATCTTGGTATCGGAAAGGCATTTGTTACTAGGAAAACACATGCCAAGGTTAAAGATTAAATAATGGAAAAGATTCTCCTGTCTCCATGGCACAAAAACCTAAGATTTAGTCCGTGATTAGAGGTGGAAGAGACTAATCTTGAAAAATATGAGATATTTTAACCTTATAAATGATATATGTGAGGTTTGAGAATTATCATAGATGTAAACTGAGGGAGTTTGGAGGGTGCTATTTAAGGTAGACATGAATAAAAACTTTACTCTTCATAAACAAATGATTGGCAGCCTAAAATAGTACAGAATGAGGAAAATTTATAAAATAATTCAAAAGGTGTGAAACGAAATTTCTCTTCTTGGCTGGTGCAATATATATGAAGTGATCATAGGATGTTCTATGTTAGATCAGGTGAGATATTCAGGGTCCTAGTACTCTTGTGTGATAATTGATCCTATTTTGTTTAATTTTACATTTAAGATGAATGATATAATGATGTTATCATTCCTAACACAAGTCAGATGTTAAACTAACATGTATGCTTACTTTCTCTTCCAACTTTTTTTTATCGTTTTCCCTCCGTTTTTATTGTGTTGCTTTATTTAATTTCTTTGAGCATTCAAAATATTGTTTAATGATTTGCAAAATTGATTGAATTAATTTGTCAACTACTGTTTGACAATGTTTCTTTGAATTATACCAGCCCACAATTATCAGATGATGAAATGTGATACTTTTCATCTGTCATAACACTGCTGATATCTCTGTCACTCAATAACTACTGGATGCCTGGTATACCTTTCCCGATTTTTCCTATACCTGTCTTGGTTTGATCATTTAGTGCACTGAGAAAGGACAAATTATAACCCATTACAGATAATCGTCACTATATTTTAAAGGGAATGTTGGCCTTACTAAAATTTTCTTAGATTTCCATCGTTTCTAAAAAAACCCCACACACAATGGCTAATGGGTACCCCACTTTATACAGAGAAAGTTTGTTGTCTGTCTTTCTCATGGAAGAACTTTTGTGATTCTCTATCAACTCATTGTTTTTCATTGTCCATAGTTACATATCTTCACTTTGAATTCAATATCCAATGTTATTCACAAAAAGTATTGGATGGATACTACTGATATTGTAAATATTCTACTCATCAGTCATATTATTACTCATCTCATTTGTGTAAATTTTGCTGATGGAAATTTTAACATAAAGTTGACATGTTTGGATTATTGATTATCACAATGATTACTGAGGTCACCGTGTTTTTGTTTGTTTTTTTCATGAATTTATTCTTAAATAATTCATATTACTTTGATTTGAATTGTAACATGAAAATATATTCCATTTTTATTAGAAAAAAACATTGACATCAATATTTAACAATCATATAAAGAAACAAAACAAACAAAAAAACAACAAAAAATGCTTTATTTGCCCCAGCTTGACACACTGCATTCCTGCCTTTGAAGGAAATTTGTTTGAAAATAGATGTTTGTGGAATAAAATTGATAACATATGTGCCTTCCATTGTTTATAAACAGGTTTTACATGATTTGATCCTAATTTCCTTTTGTGTAATTCTGACTTAGTAATATCATGCCACATAGAATATATGTCACAGACTTCCACTGGTTAATTTGTATATGTACTACATCTGTTTTACTTACATCTGTTTTACTAAAGTTGATGTATTTCCTTCTGAAAAGAAGATGTAAGAAATCTGTAAAATATCTTTTTGATGATTCTATAAATAGAAAAATTGACATGTTAACTTCTTAATGACACTAACTTACCATCAATCACAATGGTACATTGGTACTGATAATTTTTGTGTCTGTAGAGAATTTTTGTTCCTCTAATAGACTAGAACTGATTTTTAAGACTTGCCTCCAAGTGTGTTCCTGTTATCAGGCTTTCTTGATTTGGTATTGAATATTAGTTATCAGCTGATTATAAGAACCAAATTTGAGTGTTTATAATATTGATGTATTCTAAAGCTGAGGGAAGTGAAAGCATTGTTAAACCTGTTCATGATAAAAGCAAATGATATCAAATATATGTACATGTAGACAAATTCTGGTTTCAGTTCTCCGAATATTGACCTAATTTGCACAAATTTTTCTTTTCACAGGAGGTTACAGACATTCGTAGCTCTGAGGAGGAAAATGTCAGCGAAGATGAAAATGGGCATGCCATTCAACCTAATAATAATCACAACCACAACCACAACCACAATCACAACATGGTGAAATCTGTGTCTTAGTGCCATTACCATTGGCAGCATGCAGGGGGGTGGCAACCACTGTTGCCATGGAAACCAGCCTCTTTATACACTTCTTAATTAGACTAAGCTTATGACCGTGGTGCAATTGTGTGGCTGTGCATTGTAAATACAGCTCAAACTAATAATAGGTTGACGTATTTCTTCTTCAAATAGAAATGGTTTGTTGTAACTGACAGGCTTTAGTCAAACTTAAAATACAGTGCTAGGTTTTTATATATGCGCTCAGTACAAGTGGACAGAGAGTTACTTCCCCTGGCAGCTCTCTATTCTGGTAAGGCCAAAAATATTGTGAGAGATTGCAACGATCATTTTTGTCCATTGACACTGGAAATGTTGGTCAATCTCTTGTAATTTTGAGAAAGTATTCAGCTGACTGGCTGTTGTGCAATATAATATGTTTTGTTGATATGAAAATTTTGTAAGCCAATCTAGCATGTTGTATGGTGAGTTTTCTGTTACTTTATGTGTGTGTTGTATGTGACAAATGAAATAATGTAAGGTGTTCCGACTCTTAATATAGCAAATCAGTATTCGATGGAAATGTTGTCAGTGGCATGACACTAGTCTTTTGAACTTGTATTAATGACAACGCCACTTGACCTTTTCTAAACTTAAATTTGGAAAAATATGCCTTCAGACTATGCTCTGTTGCAATCATTTTGTGTAATATATTTCAATATCAGAATGAACTGAAGGTTGTCAGTGTGCCATCGTTGTCAGTTTACCTGGTCTGACTGGTCGACCACTGTTATGAGTATGGACCAGATGCAGCGAAAACCAAGCTCGCTGTATCATTACTCAATCTTTATCACTGATACTACGTTTACTGATAAGTTTTGCATGTCAAGAGTATGGGTGTAAAGTTTTAATATCAATTCAGCTCATTATAGTGATTAGTGTTTGATTCAAGGTCAGTAGACAGTTACTTGTATGTTCATTAATTTTTATATTACAACAAATGCATTGCTTCAATGTGGAATGCATGCATTAAATTAAATTTAACAACATATATAATGTTTAAATTTTAAATCTAATTTATCATTTGTTTGAATTATCATATTTTGGGGGTTGATATTACAAGGAAAAGATACATTGCATATAGAGCTATACAACCGTCTGATTCTAGTAGTCTTTGATGTCAGTGTTCAAGGAGTTCAAAGGTCAACAAAACCATGCACACTGACCATTACTAATTTTTATTTGTTTTTTTTTTAAAAATCAATTTTAGTCGACAATTGTTAATTGTTTAATAATTTTTGATAAGTGCTGTAAGTAATTTACTATTGAGATTAATATAGCTGGTGATTGATAGTCTAGGATGGAAGTTTTGGAGTTTGGAGGACTGAGTTTGTGCAAGATGTGTGTCAAAGGTCATGCCCTGCATCATGTCTAGATTGTATAGATTATTTTTCCTTAAAAGAGTTAAAAGAAGTTTGATAATGTTATAAATTAATGTAAAAATTAATATAATACCTTATACTTGTAAATATGATATTTATCATAAATTATGGCATTAAAATTGTCGAAAAGGACATTTCAGGGAAGGAAAAAATTAAGACATTTTTCTCTAAACATTAAAAAAGCATGAACAAAAGGACAAGAAATGAAGGGAACTATAAATCCTGGATTAGGTATGTGTATAATATTCCATTCTAATAATACAAGTTTGAATGGAGCAGAAATGTAGTACGCGACAGCTTCATATTCTGTCTGAGATGGGTATTTTATGCCATCACATGTATGAGGTGTGTTATAATACAAAGAATATGGCATGAAAATTGGGAAAATTTTCACACAAAAGTTTGAGGTGTTCATGCTGAAGAAAAATATTTACAACTTTATATCAAAGTTCTAAAGTTCAACTTTGTTTACAGGTAAACAAAATTTTCGGTTATCATGATGGCAAGTTGACAGTGTTTCTGATACTGTGACTGATAACATCTTTATAAGGTTATCTCCATGGAGTAGTAACCCTTGACACATCGCTTCTCTCCTTGATCTAGCAGTGCATAGCTATTAGCAACTGTTTGAACAAAACAAAGTACACTAGTACTGTCTACAATAAACATGTTGGTAGTACTACATACCATATTTGATGGTTGATAAGCAAATGTCTGGTCATAGTCCTTCTTATTCCAGTTTCCTTTTCTCAGCATATGCTAGATTAAACATATTTTCCCACCTAAAATCAAGTATATTTGATCAAAATGTCTGCTTGTTCTGGATGTATGTTTAATATCTTTATTTCTGACAGTGTCACCTTGACCTTGATCATTGTTCACACACTATAATATATTCCTATTATGATGACTATAACAATCATTTTTGCCCCTACATGAATTATGTTCAATTCATTTCTTGTTTTACAGTGTTGATAGTCCGTTTGAGATGTTTAATATTGAAGATAACACAAGGTAGGGAAGCATTGTTTTAACCATCTTCCTTACATCACAGCTTGATGCGTGGTATAATAAAAGTCTTTGATATAAATACCTTAAACATTGAGAGGACCAATCTATGTAAACAGGGAGTAGAGAAAATCGGGTATCTTTTTCATTGAAATTTTTTTCACCTATGATTTTACATCACATTATCATGAAATTTATGACACAATATGAAATTCAGGACAATAATTTCAAAATGAATATAGAATATTATTTATTACACATTTATACATGTGGTACCTGTAGTTGAGAGATAGACCTTGCTGTAAATGGATATTTCCCAATTCTGAGGGAACGGGTGTAGTCTTACAATAAAAGCCCAAACATTGACTGATGAAGCACTGTGGGTTATGGTCTCATTCTGATAGGGCATAGCTAAACACAGGTTGTGATCACTCAATGAAAGGATGTGATTCTCCAATGAGGGTGTGGTCACATGGCGAGGGGGCGTAGCCTATCACTGAGAGTCAAAATGCCTTGTTGAGAGTGTGTATCCTCATGTAAGTAGTTTGTGACCCTTGGTATGTGTGTCCTCATGTAAGTAGTTTGTTACCCTTGGTACAATCACACTCATCAAAAAGTACAGTACAACCATAATTGTGAAATCCAACATTAATTTTCCCCTCACACTACTATTTAGTTTTGTTACAAAATTTAAATAATAAAAAAGTGTATTTTAATTTTCATCAGGATATGTGAGTATTGCTTTGTATTGTAACAGTTTGATAACTTGGTACTTGTCAAACATGTTAATATTGAGACTTGTGTTGTTTTTGTATTGTCAATCAGATTTCAAACTGACATATATACCATTGTAGATCTAAACACTACACTTTACCTAAAGAACTTTTTAACATAGGATATCTTCACAGATCTGACCTAAGCATGAAAAAACCCAGAATTTAGATTTTGACTTGATGTCGCAGTGAAAATCTACGTATGAAAAAAACATTTTTAAATTTCAGTGAAATTAGGCATATGGTGTTCAAATATTAATTTCAAAATAAGCAATTCCTAATTCTAGAACTGATTATCATATTCCATGTAATGTTAAGCAAATGTTAAGTGGTAAAATTGTAATTCATTTATAATGGTCAAGGATAATGGTCAAAAAAGAAAAAAAAAAAGAAAAAAATGGTAATACTTTTTTATCATTGAATCGTAATGAAACCTGCACAGAGGATAACAGCTGTACTTCAATATTTAAAAAGTGGAGAAAAATTTAGACCCATGTGCTGTTTCTGGAAAGAAATATAAAAACATGGATGAAATATACATTCTTTGTTTGTAATTTAAACAAGTATACTGGTCCCTTTAACCTTTTGTTTTCACAGAGAAAAATAGATAAGTGAAATATACAGGGCTCATAGACCTTTTGTATTTTAAGATGAAATGAGTGAGAAAGAGTAGGTGGTAATGGAAATGTATAGGATGTCGTTGATAGATGTAACGATTATGATGTAAATACTCCATGTGTATATTAAACGTACAGTTTGCTTTGGTATTTGTATAGATTCTGTACGACATAAGTGTTCTGTCTGTGGTTAAGTGTACTTTTATTGATATTACAATGGCTTTTTAAAGTTGCTTTGTTACCCCTTGGTATTCATTGTTATGTTGTAATACATAGTTTTTTGTTTTTAATTTACTACTGAATGAAATGGGGATTCATCACCACCTAGGATTATTAATGAGATCTTGTCCTTCGGTATTCTTTCTTTTATATCGTGTAGAAAACTGCATCAGCTTGAGTATTTGACTGTGACATCATAATTACAACAAAACAATCCCAGCTTTGAACATATGAACAGTTGTTTCCTGAACATTGGCTAAATGATGCTGGGTGATGTTCTCTATCACTGTAAAATCATATATATATATTAAATTTTGTGGTTTTACAGAAATATACAGTTTCATAGGCACTTAAATTTGTGAATACCTAACTAAATCAATTTGCACCAAAATTTTCATCAGTTTTGATCTGGTTATTATTTTATGGACATAAGAAAATGTGGATTTGAGTGTGACCATGAATTTAACAAAAACGAACCCCCAACTCCCCACAAAAATAATGATTCTACAGTATATCATTTGCTGCCTTTGTTTAGAGTATGATATAAATTGTGTGCCTTTGACTACTCGTTGAATATTTGAAAGGGATGAAAAAAATACTTTGTGCAATGAGATTTTTTATTCGTTTGAGGGAAATTTGTTATTTTTGTGTCCTTGCATTAATTAAAACATACTCTGTCCTATTGGCAATTTACAACAAAGTTTTCTCCCAGCCCAGTGTAATATTATGTTGAAACGTATATGCTGTTAATGTGTTGTGACTGTTTTAAGTTAGCAATTTAAGATTGAAGTTGTTTGGAATCATGGAACTTTAAATTACAAAATAGTCAAAATGCCATGCTCTTTATTTCTCGCCTTCAAACAGATTTTATATAACCCACTCCAGCTATCAATGCCTTTGCTAAACTTTGCTATCTCGAAGAGGACGGACCATAAAAATCTTTCAAGATATTCAGGAACTTG